CTCTGGTAAGTTCTAATCTAAAAGTTCTTTGAACCGACAGACATCTGAGCGAATGTCCAGTGTCACTGAATTGCACTTTTACATTCTAACTGTAATCCAGTTTTTTTTCAGAGCTGTTCTTTTCTAATAAGAATGTCCTTTCTATACCATCCATATGATTCTATATGTTTTATATGTATCTGGCGCATCATTAAATGACGATACTCTCGAATATTATTTTTCTAACCTTTATTTCCTTTCTCATATTATAATGTGTATTTCTTTTGTAAACTTCATTTCATTGTCAAAGTTGCAATCAAAATTTAAAATCTGCATTCTATTCCGAGAAGGACGAGCAAATGCTATTGCCCTAATCTGATTGTAACATGCCGTCCAATAAACTCTCATGTAGTTACAGTACTACCAAATAGATAGAAGGATGCTAGAAAAATAACCTGTTTTTTTACTAGCAGATAGAAGGTTTTTTCTTCTTTCGAACCGTATATAATTTATTTTTATCACGCGTTCATAAATGCAACGACGCAACTGGGAAAAGAAGGATCCTTAAAACGCATTCGCACTTCTCGTAAGATTTAGAAAAACGATGTAAAGTGTTGTTTCGTACAACTCTTCGACAAATATGTTTTGGAACGAATATTATGCTACAATGGATAGGAAATTTTCACGTCTTTCGAACAATGTATGATTTACATTCATCACACATTCATAAATAAAATGAAACAAGCAAAAAGACGAGAAAGATTAACGCAATAAATTTATAATTTTTGTATAAAGCCATCGAAAATATTTTTTCTAATATTGTTTCACTCACTAATATATGACAAATATGAATCAAATACTCATTTTCAAAAGAGAACAAAATATTCTTTTCGGAATCCATTTATTGAAGAGATATGAGAATCGACATTTTGTATGGCTCTTTTATAGAAAAGTGTGAAATCTTTTTAAGAGTCCTTCTCTATTTTGGATTCTTTCGTTTAGGAGTACGTTATAAAAAATAAGCTATATGCGATTCGAAAGAAAAACAGATGTCAACATTTATTCGATTATTTTTGCATCATATTTTATGTCGAAAAGACAATAGTAGAATATCCAAATGAGAAAAAAAAACTCTTTTTATTTTCGATACATTAAAGAAAAAAGAATATTCAATAAGCCTTTCTGCATCTAGAAAATATATACAGATTGCATTGATGGATCATTGGAACCTTATGTATATCATAAGGAATCGATATCTTAGCCTCAGATGATAGTATTTGTGATAGCTTTTTTTTTTGAAGTCAAGTTTTTAAAAGCACACATATGATCAATTATTATATGTTTGAATAAAACAATTGTTAGTAATCTACAGTGACTGAAAGAAATCTGATGTGATAAGTTTTATCACGAGCATCATAAGTGTTTTTTTTATAAGGAACAGCAATAAAATTTGAAAAGAGTTCATTTCATTTCTGCTCTATTCTCATCGTACACTCCACTAGGCAGCAGGATAGCAAAAGCTTGCTTAGCTTGATTTTACTTTTCTTAAATGCCTGATATCCGGAAAGCTTCATTATTAATTCATTAAAAAGTACATTAAACACACTTCATATCAGTGAATACAGTTTTGATCGAAAAAAAATGCAGCAAAAACTAAATTTTTGTTTCACGGCCTACTGTCTACTGATCAGCATGTTCACATTTTGATCGCTATGTCATGCGTTCTCTCAATATGTTAACTGGTGTCTGATTTCATCTTCAAGTGATTGCAAATATGTATGTATGTGTGATTAAGTAGATTTACTTAGCCTACATATGTAGAATGAAATAGTTTGGGAAGCAACAAGTTTCTTTGGCTTCCTCAAATTGTTGTTTAGAGAAAATCACTGCTACACAATATGGTGGTAGTACATCGATCATAATTAAATCTTTGTATACGATATTTTTTAGACGGAGAAAAGGTGTTTGACATTTCCTTTACACATCTCACACTCATTCGACTAGAGTTTTTCTGTTACACATGCATGAACTTACAGCAAAATAGTGCTCATTGGCATGCGACATGTTTTTTCTCCTGTTTCACTTTCAATAAGATGAACATAAAACGGACGTACTACAGTTCATACGAGATGTACATATATAGATAGCTATTTTAGTCTGAAACATTGTTTCAAGCCATCATCATCTCAACGTTGATGACTATCAATACAGTAAGAATTATATAGATGAAGTGTTTCATAATCTATTTTAATTCAACGATAGCATAAACAAAAATAATTTTCTTTTCGTTATTTTAGTTCAGGTGCAGTGTTTTATCCCCTTCATTGAAAACAGAGCTTTCGTTTGGTTTTATATAGGAAGGAGAGAAAGCCAGGAAGAAAATAGTCAAAACTCAAACAAAGCTTTCTATTTGGGAGAAAGGACCTGATTCTCCTTGAAAACCTAAGATGAAAGCATTCTCTTTCTAAAAAACGGCTACTTTTCTTTGAAATCTTGAAATAAAGTTTCTTTTTAGAAGAAAACGACTGTTTCAATTTGAAAATTAAGGAGAATGCTTTCTCTTTAGCATGTTTTTAGTATATATTTCTCTATTGAAAATACTGAAAACGCCTTAAACAGCAGCTAACGAAAATTTCCAGAGAGAAAGGTAACACGCAAGGAAAAAATTAGTTGGGAGAAATCCCCCATCTTCCACCCCCTAATCGTATGGCCTGAATATACGTGCCATAACATTTACATTAATCTAAAATATTTCTAAATAGACAGGAAAAATCTTTAAACAAGCAGTGTTATTTTAAGCACGGATTGATTTTTTTTTCTTTGAAACCAATTCATTTTCTCTTTTAATTTGAACTATTTTCTCTCAACGATTTATTAGATTAAGTTTCTTGATGACACATCAACTAGTTCTCCTTATGATATCAAGAGAAAGCTTTTTGTATTAGAGAAAACAACTGGTTCTCTTAGGTACAGTTCATTCGGTCTACTAAAAGATAAAAAGCCGCTAAGTATTCGTAAAATTTTCAGGAAGAAAGCTATAATTTTAAAAAAAATTTAGGAAAGGGAAATCTCCTCGCTTCCCCCCGTAATCGCATGGCCTGATTGAGAATCTAAAATTATCAATAAAAATCGTGCAACCATTCTTCACAAAGATCAAACAAAATATCTCAATGTTATAAATAGATTATGAGACAATAAATCAAATTTCCTTGAAGATTTAGATGTTGGCATTAATATCCTCTTGACGTTTCATGTTGATTGTCATAGTTTGAATGTATGTCAAATGACTGATTTTTTTCTTTAAGTTATAGTTTGCTGCCAATTTTAGACAGATTAATTTCAACAGATAGTAAATGGTAATACTTACGTATCTATCAGAGGATATGAAAATTAACACAATTGCTTATTAATGTCTACAGAGATTCTACTAAGAAGTTAGGAAATATTACTATTTAACTACATTGTTTTCTCTAGAATTATCTATTAAACGTATGATTGTTTTTTCTTGATATTATAATACGAATTTATGTCTACGTGTTTCATCATACATTGAAAACCTAAGACGATTTGTACATATTTAACAATTCATTCGTAGTAAGAATTACTACATATCTATTAACATAGTTGTTATAAATAGAGATTAGTAGCTCATGAAAAATGCTTTTTGTTACTGCAGTAATTTAAACTTATTTCCTAATGATATACACTATTAACCAGAGTAATATAAGTTAAGATAATATGATTTTAAGTCTAATATCTAACAGAAATTATTCTACCAATGAAATAATTCAATATTTTACAATAATTTCATAATAAATACGTTCTGATTCAATATTTTTTCATAGTAAACATGATTATAATGATAATCAGACTAAAAAGAAAAGAAATGTAAACTCAATTTTATACAACATTTTCTATCGTGACTTAAAAGCTACGCGTTATTTATGCTTCTATGTTATACTGTCACACGTTAAACAAAAATACTCAGCAAATATATTTTTCTTTCTTTCACTTATAGACGAATGTCACATGGCTTGTGTAAGAAGAGAACATTAGTTGGTTTTTTCTTTGAGAGTCAGTCAACATACAAAATAACTCATTGAATTATTCTATTTCAAATCAGTAAGAAAATTATACATAATATTGTGTTTATAAAAAAATGACAACTACATCAAATCATCCTCAAGTTATTTTCATTGGTATTGCTGGTCCATCAGGTTCTGGAAAAACAACTTATGCTAGACATTTAGTTAATCATCTTCATTCACCATTATCTGTTATTCAATTAGATCATTTTTATATTGGTTCAATTACTATTGATCATCCTATTCTAGGACGTACTTGTAGTGATGAAGAACCTGATAATTTAAATATTCAATCTTTATTAACTTTAATAAAACAGATTAAATATGAACCAGAAAAACTAACTCAATATCATCGAAATGATATTTCTATTAAAAATAATCAATATTTAATTGTTATAGTCGAAGGTTTTCTTCTATTTGCTTTATCAGATGAATTAACAAATATGTTTGATATACGAATATTTTTTGAATCAACACAATTTCAATGTCGTATGAAACGTTATCGTCGTCGTTCTCTAATACATGATACAATACCTGATGAACAAATAATTATTCCAAATGAATTTCAACAATGGTTTGATCATTTAGTTTGGACATCATATTTACAAAGACGTAATTTACAAATATCAAAAGCTGAAAAAGTATTTCATTTCGAAGAATATCAAGATAAACAATATATACAACTCGATAATTATATTGATAAACGTTTAAAAAATCTTATAGATAAATGAAAAAATTTAATCTGTATTTGTTTTTGTCTTAAACTTTTAATCTTCTTTTTTTTTTCAATGATATCATCATATATACGTAAATTTATGACTTGTAATTCTCTTTTTATTTTAACCTATAGTCGATCGTAAAAAGATAAGTAAAACGAAATGTAATACAACATATAAATTCATCGTTATTCAATTGTTTTTAAGCAAATACAATCGTATGCAATCATTACCTAACTTCAAATCATCGAATCGTTCTCGTTATGAATGTATGGCAGATAATGGATGTATTATATTGGCAGTTGCATTTTCGTTAGCTGTTATGTTAATTTGTATTGTATTTACTATTGCATGCTGTAAAAAACGACATTTAAATCGTATTCGTACAACACAATCCCCTATTATACAACATAATTATAATTTGAATTCATCTGCTCCACCTCCATATAACTGGTATTCAGAATCACCACCACCACCATATAATCAAGTCAAACTTTAACTAAGCACAAAATAACCTTTAATTCTTCTGTATTAATTCTTGATTTGAAATAAAATTTGCACATAAAGATTTGATTAAAATAATATGTTATAGATTATATATATCTGTTTATATGGATAAATATATAAATGTCAAGAAAGAGGATTTCTCTCTCTATTGATCTTCTTGATGAAATTTTGATTGTTTTATCGAAATTTCAGTTTATGACAAGGTATTCTTTAAAAAAAATCAAAGAGAAGAAACTTTTGTCCGTAAATATATCTCTTGATTTTGAGTATTAAGTCAACTTTTCTTCAATATTGAATATGTTCCCAACAAAAACAAAAAAAGAAGAGTTGTTCTTTAACCTAATACTTTTTGAGTAGTATTTTTTTAGAACACAGTCTATGCAACACAGACTATGAAATACTTCCTTATTGCATTTCCAAAAGATTAACTAATATAGTCGTAATACTGAATCATGTAATACACCAAAATACGATCGTTTCACTCTATACAATCATGTACAGTGTACCTATCATATATGTTACAGACAGATGTTAGTAAATTCCTATTTCTAGAGTCTATCCTTTCAGTTTCAGAAAAATCATGATGAAGAAGTGTGTGTCCTAAAATCGATAGAATAAAACAACCTTCCTGTGATTGACGACAACAGCTATGCCATATTTCATATTTTAATTCTGCAGAGGTTAAGCTAGCAGGTTTTTTTGACTTCAAATTTAACTTAGATTATAGATAACATGTAAAGTATAAATACTTGAATCGTCAATTATTTATTAACGATCGATTATATTCAAGGGTTAATATAAAAAGTGAAATGGTTATAGAGTGCATCATTTTTGTCGTTCTCTTCCTTTTTTTCTTCAATTGCTCTACATATATTTTCGTTCTTATGATCTAGATATTTTTTGAATAAGAAGAATCGTTACTTTAATTCTTTTTATTGTTAACAATCTAAAAGAAACGCAAAGAAGTTTCTGGACTACTACGCTGGTCGTTGTTTTTATCTGTTTTCATGTGTAAATATTTAGTATTTTTCAATAATAATAACATATATCAAGTTTACAAAATTTTATGCATTCGTAACTATGGAAGTGGTACAAGTTTTTCAATATGAAAATAATATATCAGATGAAGAGATAGTGAAGGTAGGTTATAAAATAAAAGAACCCTAAAAAAACAGGAAATCAAAACGTTGAGGTTAATAAGTATGCGTTTGACAATGAATGGTTCAAATAAAATGATAATGGGTATGAAAATATACATTCCTATGCGCTAAATAGATAAACAACGCCCTAGAGGCAACCAATAAAACAAAGAAACGTTTTAAGGACGCCATTTTGTATCAAGAGTTTTAATAATTTCTTCCAATATTATCAATAATTGATCAATCGAACGAGAGTCGTTCTCAGCCAATGCAAAAATACTTTCTACACTATCAACAATATTCTTTAGGGTCATAGGCTCCATGACATCAATAGGTTAAATCAATAAAAGAAATCATTTGTGTTCCAAATGATTCTTCGAAAAAAAAACTTATATACTAGCTTGAAATTTACAATCGATTACACGAGATGATTCAAATAAGTATAAGAAAAAACAAGCCAATTCAAAAAATCATTCCATATTTGATGTATGGAAATGGAAAATGGTTCCCATCGAAAAGCAACTATCCATTTTTTTTAAATAATTTATGCAAAAAATCACGTTTGTGGATATGTCTATTCGTTTATCATATTGCAAATCACTACCAGCAGCACCAAAGACAATACTGATTAGTGAGAAAAGAAACAAAGATCGACTAGTAAAAGCTGAATCTACTTTACTAATACAATAATACAAAACATTTTATTGCTACTAAATGGTAGTCTAAAAATCTTATGTTGTTAAGTTATATTCCATTTCATGATTTTTTTAATCTTATGTATTCCTTATAATAGAATAATAATTGTCTTCTCTCGAGATTTAATATGCTGAAAATTTAAATATTGATTCACTTGTTTATAAAAATACTTTTGCAAATCATTTTCCAATTCCGAGATAGAAAATTCTTTGGTGCATGCTTTACGATATGAAATATATGACAATGAAAACTCTGTTTAGTTGAAAAAGCTATTAGCACAATCTCTTCGGGATTGAAATATGGAACACAATGTGACTGCTCCGACTCATGATAGTGAAATTGCTTTAGTTGATCTATTTTGGGACACATTTCTTCACTATCCTTTTATTAACTCTTCAGAAATGCAATAAAAAAAAGTACTTCATACTTTATGATGAGGCTTTATTGATAAATAATCTTTGATTGTATATTAAGAATGTCTATGAAAATGAACATTTCTACTCTCTATACTTCAACATTTCTTTTAGATTGTGTTCCACTAAAAAACAAACAAGTTCATAGTTATTTTCCTTAATTCAAGTGAAAACAAATAAAAGAAAATAATATCATAATTTTACGCCTGATTACAAATATATTTTGTCTAAATTTAGTTTTGTATGAACGAGAATGTTTTATATCAATTATTTTGTAGTTAAAAAACAAAATTAGAAAATATTAACATGAATAATAAGTCAAATATTTCGCATATTACATATTATGTTGAAAAAAAACATATTTCTGTTTATGATTGTAATTATTAAAAAATATTAAATGAAATAATATTATTTTTGAATAAAAATCATATTCAATTGTATCTAATTGAATTAATTTTTTAATTTATCATAATATTCATTTGTTTTTTATAATTCTTTTCTTGCTTGTAGGATAATTTTATAAACGATTCGATTGAATAATCTGTAGTCAAAAGAAGAATTTCCTAGTTTTTTCTTCATCATTGTATGTTCTAAAAAAAATCGCGTCTAATGCAAGTAATCAATATGTTGCGAACATTTGTATATGATTATCTTATTCAGTCCTCATGATAAACATTAATATAATCATTGATAAATCTGTCATATGTATAAACAAACCTTATAGTTTGCTAAGCCAAAATTAATATCTTAAACTCTTATCAGTAATTATATCAATGTACCGATACATTACATCTGATTTTTATGATATGATTAATTTATTATTGGAATTTTCATATATTTTGTTTTTCACTATTCATCAATGAAAGCTCGTATATCTCAAAGAAGATCGATTGATATGGTCTGGATTTCTGAGATAAAAGAAAAAAAGATAAGAATCATAGAGTCAACAAAATAATATTATTATTCGAGTCGTTGACTATCAGGATATTTATAATTAGCATTGACGGGCAGTCCTGGATTCGATCTCATTCGATGATTTCTCATGTGAATAGTTTCTTGATTTGGTCATCATGCATTAAATCAAAAATGAAATCTTCATGATTAGTCATGCAAAAAACTCATCCTCGAACGGTCATTCGTTGAACAAAATCCAGATAATAAGTCGACTTAAGCAAAATTAATATGTTCGTGATCAATTTTATAAGATTAATATTAAATACTAAAAACGAATAAGACGTAGCATGCAATTCACAACTATATATCATTAAGTATTTAATTATTAAGGTTTCTAGTTACTAATTTAATCTGACAGAAGAGTAAAAATAAGCAACATACTTTTTTTTTCAGTATATATTTCATATGTTCGTGTGTTATCAATGTCGATAACTTTTACATTTCTCTTATTATTCTTTATTTTGCAAATTATTTTGATCCATACTATTTATATCATTATTGAAATGACTTTCTATATTAAGATGGAATGTTGTTTTTGTCATAGGGCATGATTTTTATTAGTTTCTGTGAATAAGACAAGGATGGAATATTAACATATGAATATGCTCAAAAAATGACATTTTCCTGTTCAATTTGTTCTTGACCGTACCAATAGATGTTCCACATAATTAAATTTAATAATAATGATGAAATATTGAATATGAATAGAAGAAAAGAAAAAAAAAGATATCTTTAATCAATTATTCAATATTATTTAAAACAAGACTTCATTATTTCTAATGAAAAATATTTCTTTTTCTTTTTAGTTGATGTTTTGCTTACAAAAGAAAAGTATTTTTTTGTTTATTATTTATGAGAAAAAATATAGAAGATGTGAAATTGACAAATATATAAACAAAATTAGTAAGAATGATATGTAGGTGAAATACGTCATTTACTGAAAATAATTCATCTAGAATAAAAATTAACTTGTCTGTATATGACAGATGCTACCAAGTAGAAATTTTCTTTTTTTGAATGAACTTTCACCAATCCTAACATCAGTTTATTGCGAACAAAAAAGGAAAAAAAAAAAAGAATCCTTCTATTTTCTTTCTTTTTCCTTTTCTGTAATATCCATTTCTTTTATCAGTTGTTTTCTCAATAACAGTCACGTTTTCAATCAGATTTAACGAAGTTAAGTTCTATTATCAATTTATCAATAATTGTAGTCTCACGACTATTTATTACTAAATTATCAAACCGCAATAACAAAAGGTCAAATATGTTTAATTCATCGAATGAAAGTTATTATAAGTACATTGTACGTTGTTTAAGTATATATGCACTTATACTTGTTATTGTTGGAACATTAGGCAATTTATTCACAATAGTTATTTTATGTCGAAGAAATTTAAGACGTTATGTTACAATGAGATATTTAATTGCTGTTAGTATATGTGATATTGTATCATTATATGGATGGAATTTAAATAATTTTTATAAATTTACAATTAGTTCAAATTTTACTAATATAGAAGATCTTTCTATAGTACATTGTCGAATTATCTCATATATGACATTTGTTGGTTTACAATTATCAAGTTGGTGTCTAACAGCTGTTAGTCTTGGTAAGTTTTCTAGTGTTTAAAAAAAAGTCAATGAAAATTAATGATCTTCTCACTCTTAACCAATATATGAAATAACTAGTGTTGTCTTAAATTAATAAATTTACTATTGAAAGAAATTCTTTCATTGATTAATTACTTTTGAATTGGAACTATGTACATTATGTAGGTTAAAATTAGCTATGAATATTCTGAATAGACTTCCGACAATTAATTTATTGCTACATAGATACAATATGTATTGCTTCTCAGAACTACTAAGAAAATTAATTTTCAAATTTCGACTTGAAAACTTTCCGTAGAAGTTTTTCAATTTATATTAGTGATATAATTTTGATTCTCATCAAAGCTTATCTCTATGCAAAGCTCGGGAAAAGCATTTTTCAGACGATCACGACAATATTAAGCTAAAAAAGAAACATCGTAGCAATGCAGTATGTCGACAGTAATGAACTAATAGCCCGAAGCCTTTTCAGAATATTCATAGGTCATTAGCGCCTACATGATGAATATAGTTCCGATTGTTCACTCCGGAGACTTCCCACGTCAAATCATCAATCTTCCATTAGTTTTCTTAAAAATTTATTCATATTGTCAATATGTCATATATTTATTTTAATATTATGATACATCTCGTGTCTAACTCGTCTGGTTAAAAATATTAATCATATAACATACATATAATCATAAATGTTTACAGAAAAGTTTACTAGAGAAAATCCAATATCATTTCTTTTTGTATATATATTTCTCTATTACTGTGAACAAAGATAGAGCGACTTTTTACATGAATCAGACATATCTTCATGACATAAAAACAAAGATTAAAGATATTATAAATTGGTGATCACTCTCGCAAAAATAGACTCGGTATCGATTACCGATTATTACAAGTGTGTGTCTTATTTATTTGTTTTGCTCGCCTTATCTCATAGTAGACTACATTACATATCATTATTTACTAATGGAATAGTACGACAACTAGTAAGTCTAGTGTCGAAATGAATTTCAGAGTTGACTGGTTTTGACTTACTCAGATCGATTTTATCTCTGCTCTATAGGATTTTCATGTATCTAGTTTTAATATTGAATAATGAATAATTTTTATTTTGATATAAATTTTTTTATTCTATTAGATCGTTGTTTAAGTCTATATTTTCTTACATGGAAACAAAATTATGGTAAATTATCTCGTACAAAATATTATATAGCCGCATTGACAATCATCTGTTTACTTTTCAATTCTCATATCCTTTTTCTTAATGGATATGTAGTTAATTCTAATGTTGACACTGTTAAATGTTATGCTAGACGAAACAATCCTAATTATATATATCCACAATGGGAACGTGCTCATCTTATTGCTTATAATTTATGTCCATTTTTTATTATGTGTCTATGTAATACATATATTATTTATATAACTATTCGTTCAGCTCGTATTCGTACATCAGTAACAAAACGAAATCCTCGTCATCGACAATTATCAATTATGTTAATATTAGTAACATTTGTTTTTGTTGTATTAACATTACCATCATGTATATATTATGTATTTTTTCGTCATCAAATGTCATCAATACAACAGACACGTATGTTACGTTATATGATACAAATATGTTTAGGTAGTATTCAATTTACAGCACATGCAATAAATTTTTTTCTTTATTGTTTTTCAACAAAAAATTTTCGAAATGAATTACATGATTTTATAGAAGAAATATTTTTATGTTTAATTAAACCTAAAACATTAACAACAACAACAGTAGTGATAAATTCAACATCAAAAAATACAAATAAAAAATATAGTGGAAGAAAATATGGTATGAATCAAGAAACAACATTAGAAAATCAACAAACTGGACAACAATATGCATTAAAAGATATGCAGACAATATTCATTAATAATGAATGATTTGTATTTTTATTTAATTCATTTTTTTTTTTAAAGAAAAAAAGCCCATTGTAATAATTGTCACGTTTCTTGTTTATATTAATGACAGAAGTAAAGAAAAAAAAAAAAAAAGACATTTCACTAAATAAACTGTCGTACGAAAATTGAGTTTTGTCATGTATATATCCATGTCGCACATTTATTTGCATTATTATCAGTTTGTACACAGAATGCCGAACGGTAGTGCTTACAGTTTTTGGTTCTAACTATAAAAGATTACAGCAAGTTTTTTTCTGTTCAAATTTTAATTATTTATTAGAAAGAATTTGAACTAGTCGAGAAACAAACAGTTTAAAAATATTTTTTTTTTACTAATAAACCTTTATCTCATCAATGTCATCTCGATGTATCGAGTTCGACTTAATTCTGTCAATTTTAACTTACACATGGGTACACATAAGATGTTCGCTAAGTTATCTGATGTAATAAAAACGGACAACGACGCATAACAACTTCTCGTCAGAGTCCAATGAAAAAATCATATAACTATGGGATTTTTATACTAATTTTCAACAATATTCACATCATTATTCAATAACATCGCCATGATTTGAGCTGAAATTTCTATCTAGTATGAATTTTATATTTATGGTACAAACATGAACATCAGTAATTTGATGAAAAATAGCTTTGACTCTTTTACAAATTGCTTCGTTTATTACCAAACTATTGGAGTACCCTGTATATTTAAATAATATATGGTTAATGACTTCTGTTAAATTTATTTATAACACAAAAAAAAAATATAGATCTAGCATAGCAACATATAATAATTAAACACTAAAAATATGTGAAAGAAGTCAATAAAAGAAAGAAAAAATTTAAAATTTTACAAATAAAGATCCACATAATTATGGTGACGAAAATAATTTGTCAGTTGTTAAGTAAATTAATCAGAAAATAATTATGCATTCATGAGAATTTTTTACGTTAGAAGTTAAATGAACCGGTAAGATATGACTATTAATAAGAATTGAAAAATTTAATATTTCATTACACATAATATCCTTTTTTTTGTGCTACGTAAACATACTAACTCGTTGATCGGAGGGAAGTTTCCTGATGTCTTTT